TCGAATTCGGGTTCGATTTTATGTGTTTTTCGCATCCACAGCCAGCATTATGAGAGGTTTTTTGACAATTCAGCGCTGGGGGGAGCTCGTTCCGCACATGCGCAGTCCTTTCAGTTTCGGTTTTCGATTAGATCAAGTGTTTTAATGTTCTCTCGATCGGATTAGAAAAGGAATAAAGCTCCCCTTTCAATCGGATCAAAATTTCGGATTGATTAAGGTGTGATTGAGCAGCCAATTCGATAACTAATGCATTATTTGGGTACAATATATAACCTATAGCCTATACAGCTGTTCTGTCTGCCCAGCGCTTCCGCCGGGCTGCGCGTGTGTGTGTGACTGTGTCCATACCTTAGACATAGGTTACTGCCAGTCTCTGTTCAGGATCGATTGGTTCACGAATCTTCTTTTCAATATGTGGCTCCAGAATCGCAAGCAAAGTATCAAACTGTCCCACTGACATTCTGAAGTAAATTTTGAATCGTTCGGGATAAACTCCTTGACAAGGAGGTGGAACTCTCCTTCATCTCGGCGCAATTTCAGGATTGGATGGACCCAATATTTTCTCTTTCTTCTCTTTTCAATAAGAGAGAGGGCAACAAAATAATCATTTTTAATTTCTGTGCGTTTTTTCCCGCAAAGGTTTAATAAATACGCATCAGACTCAGTGTGCAAGGTTTCTGTACGTGGCGAAATTTCAGAATGATTACACTTACATAAGCACAAATCAAGAGAATGTCAACTCATACATGTGGTTTATTTTACCTCATCTAGTTTCCTAATATATTATAGACAAGTTATATAAATACACAATCTCTGCATTATGAAAACTGGTAAAACAAGAAACTTCTCAAATTAAACATGTGATCTCTTTTGCAAATGCATGGGCACTTACAATCGGAAGGGTCTGTTTTGATTGGTTCAAAAAGTGTTGATGAATCAGGAAGTGAAGAGCTGTCCAATGAAGCAGATGACTGCAGCTGCTGGGTGTCCGCTGAAGACGCCGGATTGGCTGTTGTTTCAGAGGAGGAGGTGCTTGAAATATCTACAAAATACAAAAAATATTATATTTAGTAATAGTACATAAAGCATGAGAAATTATATATGAGGGATGCACAATATATCTGCCACCATATCAGTATCGTCCGATATACGTTCATTTTTAATGATATCATTATAGACGCAGTAAGTAAATTAGGCCGATAGATATTGTATCATTTTTCAGCTGTGACGCTTCAGATGACATAATGAAATAATTTTCTCATATAGGATGTGTTTGGTTAAGTTAATCAAAGCGTTAGTAAAGAGCTTCAGTTTACTGGTGCTCATCTTTGCCTTCAGCACATCTAGCTCAAACAGAATTGCACATTAATAACTATAATTAGGACTTTTCAAATTCAAAAACGTTTGAATTCTTTGGGTTTAGTTGCCGTGTTTCAGCACAAACACACATATAAGCCTTCACTACCAATTAGTAAAAATAAAAATCATAGTTCATTTGTAATAAAGGGGCAAAAAAAACAAACAAACAAAAAAACAGCGTTTTCAGACATTTCATTAATGACAAATTTTCATATTTCTTTTGTCCAACCTGTGGCTGTCCTAGCAGCAGAAACAGTGGTTGTGCTGGGAGGGATGGTGGTGGTGGTGGTGGAGGAGGTGGTAGGACTCTGGCAGGTGGAGGCGGGTGATGGCGTACTGACGGCTGCTGGTTTGGTGGGTGTGACAGCAGCAGATGTAGTTGAAGCAGGAGGGGTGGACAGGCTCTGAAGCATGTCATCAGGTGGGGGAACGGGCAGCACCACAGGAGAAGAACTACAGGGATCCTTATTCACCAGGAGGACCTCGATGGGACCTGCAGAGCTCTTCAGGTGAATCTGGTACTTCTTTTGTCCATTGACATGCTACAAAAAAAGTGAGTGTATTTAGCTTCTGGATTGTTTAGGTGTTTTTCTTAAGAAGCATAAATTACATGAAAGAGTCACAACACTAATAAAACCGTGCTAAAAAGTATTATGGTACTTTGGATACCATGAAGATGTGCGTGTATATTTATAATTAACTGAATGAATTACTCATAAATCAGATATTAGTTTCTAGTAGATTATAATCTAGTAGCACTTACAGATTCAGGCACAGGGACCTCCAACTGTGTTCCTGAGGGAGCTCTGATTGCTAGAAGAGTGTCACCTAGTGGCAGACAAACATATATAGAGGTAAACTACAATAAAGAAACATAAATATGTAACTTTGACATATATTTGTTGTTCCCGTGACATTGCTGCTTTGTTGGGTGTCTGATGGGAAAAACCAACCTTTGAAGCAATTGCAGAGGTCTTGATGCGTTACATATGCTAGAGTGAGTCAAGTTAAGGATAAACTGCAAACATATGCTGAATTCAGAACCACATCCAACCTACTCTTCCTTCTAAAATAGTATACTAGTAAGCAGTTCTCAGAAAATTGGAAACACTTTAGGAGTTTCAAAGTCATCATCTGATTGAATTTTACAGGATTTCTAGGAGATGTGTGTGTCGCGGTCCACATGGAAACAAATCCGTTGTGACGCCAAACTCCCATGTGGAAGAAAGCTGCCGTGTTTACAACTGTGATGCTGAGCGACTATCAGAAAGCTCGCAGAATATACTCTTCACCACACACCTGTCTGGTCTATTGAAGGGACATCGACATTATATTAAGTATCACAAGAGCATGTAAAGCAAAAACAGTGGACAAAGGTGTAGCTAGAAGGATATGGGCTATTTATTGAGTCATCTGTCACATTCTTGATGCTCTGCTGAACCCAAACTCTCTGCTGGTCCAGTTCATGCTCCCTCCTGTCAAGATCCTCCAATTCCAACTTGAGATCTATCAGCTTGTCTGCAATTTCACGCGTGTTGCAACCTGGACCAACACCCCTTCAAATGAACAAAAAGAGAAACAGACATTTAGATCAAGTGAATTAGTTGACGCTTGAACAGACAGCTCTCTAAAACGTAAATAGCCAGAGCCTAATCATTTAAACAGTTGTCTCGGAAAAGTAATTAGTTGTATTTTCATGTTTAGGTTGGATTGTTTCTTAAAATAAACTGATTATAATTGCCATTGGCAACAAAGTATTGTTTCAAATTAATAATAATAAAAACTATATATATCGTTCTTGGGGTCTTTAAGAATTAATGTTTTTTGAAGAAGAATCTTATGCTTAGCATGACTTGCATTTATTTAATCAAAAATAAACTAATATTGTGAAATATTATTAAAATTCAAACTTACATTACTAAATGTAATTAATTTATTTGATTATAATTATTCCAGTCTTCAGTCACATTATCCTTCAGAAATCCTTCTAATGTGTGTATTTGCTGATCAAGAAACATTTGAAATCAGTCAGGCTGTCCAATATTTTAGTACTTTTAAAATACTTGAGCAGAAAGTTGCAAAGAACTGGATTTATTTGAAATAGAATAGTAACTGTCTTTACTGTCACTTTTGACCATTTTATACATCCTTGCTTAATAAAACTATGAATTTCTTTGATAAAGAAGCTTACTCGAATTAAAAGCATTGGACCTCTTATCTTCTTATATGTACTCATGCTTAATAGCAAATATTAGCATAATTAACAATAAGATTACATCCTTCTTATCAGATTCACAAGGAAAAGATGCCTGACGTCCTTAGTGGCCCACTAAAATCTTTAATGTGTTGATGCAAAACACTAATAATGCACCTACAGAGACCATCAAAATGGGAAAAACGAGTATGTAAATATAAAAAAGACACCAGAAAGTATTCACAGAATTGCCTTACTTCCACTGGATGCTGTTTTTGGATTTCTTCTCAATAAGTCCAATGCCTTCCAAAACATTGGTGATGTCATAAATCCGCCTTTTCTGTCTTACAGCCAAAGTATCTGCAGCCTAAATCACATTCACACAAAAGAAACCAAACGAGATTATTGATTCTTCTCATCACATGCGGCCCAAATGCACAAAACACACAAGTGCTCAAGTGTATCGCATACAAAGCCCTTAAAAGAGCAGTTCACTGAAAAATAAGCTAATTTACTCACTTTTTATGACTTTATTTCTTCTGTGGGGAATGTTTTAAGTAGAGTGAGAGAGACTGACATCTTCGGTCACCATTCACTTGCATTGCATCTTCATTCCATGCAATGAAAGTAAATGGTGACTGAGGCTGTCATTGAGCCTAACACCTCCTTTTGTGTTCCCACTTAAGAAAGAAAGTCGTATGGGTTTAGAACAAAAAGAGGGTAAAAAAAGACAGAACTTTTATTTTTCCTTTGAACTGTCCCTTTAAGACGTATTGCCTATCAAAACAGACAAAAACAGCCCCCAAAAAAGTTGACAAGCAAGCAACTTCAAGCAATCAAGTTCCAAGATGACCTGTTCATTTCTACAAGACTTCGATCAAATATCATTAAAATGACCAAACTAGTATTTCAATACGTTTTTAAAACGCGTAATATAGTGTTTAAACCCCAATGGAAGCAAAGAAGCGGATCGCCTGGTCGCATAGGCCTAAACTATCCCAAACTCCAGAGCACGTGCTTGTTTTGAAGGCTTTTGTTTGAGATTTCAGTCCGGATGGGATTAGCTTCTTAACCGCAAGAAACCTCCGGGATACAACAAACACCACATCAGCGGGTTTGCATCGCAGACAAGTAGTGACATTACATTTGCAACCTGTTAGCTGGCTCGCATGGTTTAGTGGAGGAACTAACGTTACTTTATTTAAGCGAGCTGTCGTGTTGTTGAGAGAGGGGTTGTAACTTACATGCACGCGACCCCCTCCTCCCTTCCCAAAGAAACTTTTTGATCAACTTTTCTGTTCTACGACCTGGAGTGCATCTGTTTGCATGCAAACAATAAAAACTATGCATTTTTAGCAGGCGCTGTCCATCTCGCGCGTGCGATACTCAAAACATATAACGTTAGCTGATGACGGTGATAGTAATGATGAGCTCGTCTCGTGCTTACAGCTTTCAGATCCAGCACTCCGTCCTTCGCTTCCTGCAGCAGAGTCACAAATTTAGTCGTGAGGAGCCCAAGACTTTTCTCGTGGCGACTGGGGGTCTGCGGCTGCAGCGAATCTCCCATCGCACCCAGTTCGTTTCTTCCGGTCTCTAAATCCATCAAGTTGCTTTTAAAGTATTAATAAATCCCCACAGCTCTGCCTGCGGTCGGTTTATGTTTGTATAGTGAACGCTTTCTGTTGTTATATCGCTGACAGCACCGCTTCTGCCGCCCAAACGCTCGCTTCCCGTCACCGGCCGGTGATTCCTATAGCATGGACGGGGAAGTTCACCTCGAAATGAGAGAGTTAAGCCCCCGTTCAGGGTCCGGTCCGATTCAGGACACAGGTTACCCGAACCCAGATGGCCTAACAAGAACAGGCGTTCTCACAAGCACCAGATCTGAGCTAACGTTACTTGAATGACTGAAGCCGTTGACGGCGCGGTGCATCATGGGATGACCTGCTAAAAATGGGAAGCTCTGTGGCACGACCTGTAGGGGGCGATAAGAACAGCATATCTGAAGCGGCCATGTGGGGGGCACCATAGGTTTTTCTGTGCTGCTGAGCCTATTTTTTACAGTCTATGTGCTGAACCAATTGTTACAGTCTATGTGCTGAACTGAAAAATGCAAGTTTTTATGTGAATAACCATAGAATGTTTTTATCATTAGGCATTTGTTAACTTTTTAATGCTTTCTGACTTGCAGCAGACGTAGGCTTAGATAGATAGATAGATAGATAGATAGATAGATAGATAGATAGATAGATAGATAGATAGATAGATAGATAGATAGATAGATAGATAGATAGATTTTTTGCGTTATTCAGCCTGAGGGTGGCGCTCTAATGTTGATTGACAGGCTTTAGGCTACACAGGACACATATGCGTACTAGTCTGTATTTTTATTTTTTATTTTTTTTATTGCTCAAATGAAAACAACAGTATACAAAATATACAACATTAATATTACCCTTGCCAGGGGGTATCACATGCATTCAAACAAATTGTAAGTAATAGAAATATTTCTCGTTTTCATAGCCTTTTTGTTCAAAGAACCACTAATTAATTTTATATATGATAACATACCACAATAAAAATGTTTAAAGGCCAGTTTTTGTTTTATATATTTGCATTTGTGGATATAGAATTTAGCTTGCACAATTAGTAAATTTATAATAAAAAAACATATCTTCTTTACTTTGTTTTCTAAAAAAACAAAACAACATTTTCCCACTTCAAAGTAAAGTCCTTGTAAAGTTTACTTTACAGGTGCTGGGTGCTCTCAGGGTGATTTCCGCAAAAAGAAGAGTTCACTTCAATGTCACTTTTGAATTTCGTCATATACTGGTTAGCAGGGTAGTACTTACGGATAATTTTGAAAGAAATTTCCTTGACCTTTGTTAGAAATAAAAAACTTATTGGGAATTGTCCATACTTTTTTAGTTAATATCATTGACAAAAGAATTCCAGTATGAAACAACATATGGGATAGATATCACTTCTTTCTGAAACAAAGACGGTACATATTTATTGTGATTTCTAGAAGAGGTCAGACAGATTTTACCTATATTATATCGGAATCGATTGACTATAGAAAGGAACAGAAGAGATATTAAAATCAACACTTCTAAATAGCATTTTGACACCAGATGGTATAGTATCATATACTATTGAATATTCTTTCGGTGTGGCTGCATAGGTGTTTAAAAATTCTGTGTAAGACATAAATTGTCCATCACTATTGAACAGTTGAAACACTAAAATAATCCGTTTCTCAATCCAGTTAGGAAAAAATAATGACTTATTCTTATATAGAATATCCCGGTTGTTCCATATAATATATTTATGGGGAGAAAAGTTGTGCTTATATATGAGGAACCATGCTAACAAAACTTGTTTGTGAAATAAAGAGAGCTTTTCCGGTATTTTGTCTACATTGTAATTTGCAACCTAATATGAAGCTCAAACCAAATCTAGAAAATATAAAGTTAGGAATAAAATTCCAAATGGAAACAGGATTTTTAAGAAATTGTTTGGCCCAGTTGATTTTAAAAGTATTGTTTAGAGTATCAAAGTCTAACACATTTAGCCCACCATGTTCATAGCTATTCATTATGACACTTTTCCTGATGTAATGTGTTCTATTCTTCCAAAGAAAATTAAATAGCATACAATCAATATCCTTACAAGTTTTGTTGTTGGACAGAAAGAGCAGCATATGTGAGTCGAGACAAGCCTTCTGCTTTTGAGAGCAAGACTCTCCCTCTCACTGTTAGGTCTCGCAGCTATTGATTTAATTTGGTTTGTGTTTTTTTAATAAGCGGTGGAAAGTTTAATAAAATTCTTCTCTTTTCATCTTTACAAATGAATAAGCCTAAATAGCCTAATTTGCTTCCTTTCGGCTGGGAATCTCACAAATATTCTGATCCTTACAATCTTTGACAGGTAATAAGGTAATAATTGACATTTACTTAAATTTAAGGTCAAGCCAGAAGCTGTGGAAAATTCTTCAAATTTTTTTAAGGCAATAGGCAGCTGACTGGCATTCTTAAGAAAAAAATTGTCGTATCATCAGCTAGGCTGATGCGTATTTCTTTACCTGCTATGTTAATACCTTTCATGATGCTATTAGAGATATGAGAGGCAATAATTTGCAAGCAAAGTAAAAACAAATAAGGGCTGATTGGGCATCCTTGTCATCCCACGTTTAAGATTAAATCTTGACGTTGTACCATTTTTCATTCTAACGGAGCTATTAGCGTTTGAATACAGGGCAAAGACAGCATTACAGAACATATCACCAAAGCCAATTTTTTAAGAGAGAGAAATATGAATTCATGCTCAATAGAATCAAAGGCTAGGCTTTGTAGAAGTCTAAGAGGAGGATAAATGAGTCATCCTGTATCAGATCGGAGTAATCCAAAATGTCAAAAACAAGTCTGAGATCAGGGGCGTCGCAACCGTGGGGGATGTGGGTGTTTTAACACCCACACTTTTCTCGGTGAGAGTGTTCAACACCCGCACTTTTTCTGCCGTTTTTCCGCAGTTTTACACAAACGCCTTCCTACAGTCGCTCCTCCGTTTCTCTGGCGCTCAGTGTGTGTGTGTGTGTGCGTGCGTGTGCGCTCGCTGCGGCTGTCTCCTCTCAAACATGACACCGGCTTTGAGTGTGTCCGGCTGATGATTGGCTGTTCTGCCTTAAGTCCCGCCTCTCTTGATGTGTTAGATGTATCGGTCAGCTCGTGCTGAGGAGGCGGGAACTTATGGTTGTTTACATCTCCCTTTTCCAGGTACTTTGAATGAGTGTTTATGCTTTCGAGGTTTTTAAATAAGCTTGATATGTGTTTGGGAAGATGTTATGTTTATGTTTTATTGACATGTCCAGTGTTTTCATTATTATATTTCGTATTTTTGGATAAACAGTACAAGACTTGCGTTAGGCATTCTGCTGCATGATTTGAGAAAAAAAAAAAAAACGCGCTCTTTGCTCACAGGATCAGCATGGTGTTCTGTGTTTTCTCCTAAATGAAAGCTCAAGGGTTTATTTCTTACAAGTGAAGAAATTAGGACAAAAGTATTGTAATTTTGATAGCGTAATATAGAATATAATGACAGACTCTATATCATAACTATAAAGATGTTCGAGCCCTCTTTAGGTAAGTTACAAGTCAATGCTTTTTCGTTGTTCAATGTGCACAGGCCTGGGTCGAATCCAGTTGAAGCTCTTAATTTTGAGCTCTCAATGTGCTCCAGATTGATGCATTAACCTTAAAATGTACCAAATTTTCTTGCGGGGGAGCATGCCCCCGAACCCCCCTAGAGGGACAGGGGTCTACGTAACATGCCCAAATTTAAATGACACATCCATACCCCACACTTTTCAAAAGCTTGCTACGCCTCTGTCTGAGATTATTAGAGATATGCCTATTCTTCATAAAACCAGACTGAGTTTCGTCTATAATACCATCTTTTATTCTTCTGGCCAACACTAAAGCCATAATTTTATAGTGATTGTTTAAAAGACATATTGGTCTCCAATTGTCAATAAAAAGCGGATCCTTATTAGGTTTTGGGATTAGAGTGATAAGGCCTTGCGTGAGACTCCATGGAAGAGTACTCCTTTCAATACTTTCGACAAATACTTGTGAAAGGTGCTAGTAGATCAGAAAATGACTTGTAGAATTCTGATACTAGATCATCGTTGCCAGGTGATTTATTATTTTTAAGAAGAGCAATAGCTCCAATAACCTCTTCTTTTGTAAGTGGTATTCTTTGGCAAAGTCACCGAGCCAATCGCGTAGTCATGAATGTTATTGTTAGAGGGTTTCTTCCTGAGGCGGCGTGGCTATCACCTGTTGGCATTGTCAACTTTGCTTTTGGGTTTTTCAGCTGTCTTTTATTGCAGCCCATTCTCACCCCCAAGGCGTCACTTAACTGACGCCTTGGGAAGCATTTGGACATGCTTCAATATCTGACGCTTTTTTGTTTATTGTCGCGGGTCGACATCTCAAAGTTTAAATCCTCTTCACAAAGTTCCTTTAGCGATTAATAAAGTTAATAAATATTATTAACTATGATTAATAATGTTATTATAATACTCCCAATGAACTACTGCGGAGGGTAAAGGTACTGTTATTTCACCCTTTTTAATTTCGTTGAGGTTGTGTTCCCACATCGTTTACTAGTTTGGAATGCTATAACTTGAATGACTGTCAACTGTTGAATGAGTGTCAAGCATGTCAAGTCGCGCTTTGTTTACTTCGAACCGGAAGTCGCGCCCACTTTTGACGCAAGGCCTCATGGGGCGTAGGAAACTTGTGGATAGGAGATGAGAAAATCCACGAAATATCTATACTACTGTTATTGAGTCATGAAATGTAATTTTAAGAGTGTTTCAGGCGAGAATGTGGTTGTTTAAATCTCAAATCTGTAGTTTATTTATAAAGATAGCGCCTATCTGAAAAATGCTGACGTTTTCGGAGTTCTGACATCCAAGCCTTCAGCGGACACTCAGCGAGATCAACCCCGACTGGAACATTCCACTGAAATGGTTACTTTGTCACTCTTGTCACTGCTGGAATTATGGATTTACAAGATTGCTCACTACTGCACTATGTTGGTTTGTTTGTATGTATGTCTGATTGTTAAAAAAAAAAAAAAAAAAAAAACTTGACAAATGCATTCACAACCTTGCAACTATGTTATTGTACTTTAATATATAAAGTAATACATCCTTTCCATTAAATTTTTGGCCCGCAACAATAGAATACTATTTTAAAAAAAGTTTAGCTTTTAACACCTTTTACATGACACTATTTCTTTTCATGGCCATAGCATAGGTTAAAAATATACTACTTAAAAAAAGGCCTACACTATTTCAGTAAAAAAAACAAAACAATTTTGAATCCTCCTGATGTTCTCTTAGCCTATACTTTCTTTATGTGGGCTTCTAGGTCGCTATCACCTTGACACTGACTGACACGTACGTGCCAGCTTTGCAGTTCATGCATTCTGCTTTACACGGATCCCGACCGAAACGAAAACACTGGAATTTTCTCTGTAAATCATCTGTGAATTTACATTTGGGCTTTTTTTTTTACGCTGTTAGCTACTTACCTCGCACTTGACCGACAACTCAGAGCCATCTGCGAAAACTGAAGCGTCTGAAGCACTGCTAAAATTCTGTGAACGTAAAGTCCGCCTACTTTGATTTGATTAGTCATTTCAAATATTCTGACATTGACAAGCAGTGACAGACCAATGAGGCTGCGATGAACACTCTCTCTCACACACACACACACACACACACACACAGGCCTCTGTATTCTGATGTCTGTTTGACGTGCTCTGTGCTTGACGCTGCGGATTGAGGAACACGCTGACGAGGGGGTGAAGCAAAGACATATGTTTTGTGTGCAAAGGCAAGCGTATTTAAAGTACACGCTGGCCCAATGAAAAATAATGAAAACCAGGACATTTTCATCACTTTTTGAAAAACAGACAGGACGGCCAGGACAGGACGTGAAAACAGGACATGTCCTGGGAAAACAGGACGTTTGGTCACCCTATTATTAATGAGAACCTTGCTAGAACATGCCAAAGGCCAAAGTTCTGCGAATGCCCCCTGTTAGCTGAGTCTGTGCTGTTTGAGAAGGACAAGTGGAAATTTCCTCACGACTTCAATTAATGAGCAAGGGCCGACCTGAGAAATTTGAAGCCTTTATGCCAGATAAAGATAACATTGTTTCTGTTTATATTCTATTGTCTGTTTACTTAGTGAATTCTTTCCTTATCCTCACACTTGTCTCAGAGAGTGAGGATCTAGCCTCAATTTATCTGGACTGGGGATGTAAAATGGCACTGGGTGGCGCCATTTTACATTATTGTGTTACTTTTTCTGCAGACGTACAGGAAGAAGAAGAAGTAGAAGTGACCGAAGCTCCTCACATGGAAGGTGGTAGTACTAGTCACCATAAAACAATATATATTTTAATATCTCACCAACGGGCTTGCATTTTAATGAAATGGCGACGGACACAAAAAGGCCAAAGGTAAAACCAACGTTTCCTCAAGTTATTAATATTCGTTGCCTCTCAGGTTAATTCATAAAGATTTAAATATTGCCTTAGGCTTGAAACACAGATGTTTTACAGTTGTTGTGTATAATCATGATGAGCCTTCAGCATAGCATCATGTGTGGTTTCAGATAGACGATGAGATCTGTGTGCTGGACCCCCTGAAAGACTTCCTGCTCTGGTGTGATGGTGTCAATCTGACGCTCAGCAATAAGGTCAACTGTTCATTTAATATCAATGTAAATAAAATACAAATAAAAATGTATTGTTTTTATATATTCAGTTTTCATTTAAATTTTAGCTTGTGTTAGTACTTTTTTGTGCTTTTATCCAGTTTTTTTATTTGTTTAATTTCTTTGAGTAATTTTAGTGCAATTAAATTGTTGTCATGACGACGATAAAACCCTTTGAGATATTTACCAATGGTTTTAGATATCCAAAGACTGTGCACTGACTACGAATGAAAGAAAGTGCACGCAATATGCTGGAATAAAATGTATTGCGCCTTGGCTGGTCCAGGCTGAAATTTTTTTGCCATGATTTGAGCATTTAGAAACGAAATTTATGAGACAGTTGGCAGATTAGTGTTTCAAATATGAAATTTTATCGCAAGTTTGATGAACAGCTTTGGAGAATTTGATGTTTCCTCATTCAAAGAGGATAGGAGTGAATGACTGAAATATCTGCCTGTGAGGCATTTCAAAGATGGCCGCCAAGTGGCCCGAGACTTGCCTTTAAAGGGACTTTTATATTTATTCACCACAGACACAGTTGATATTAATTTCTTTAGGTGTACATAAGTAAAGAGGGTACAGTAGCCGAATATGGCATGCTTGCCAAAGAGGACATTGAAGAGGGACACATCTTGTTCTCCATTCCCAGAGAGACGCTCCTGCATCAGGGTACCACTAAAGTCAAAAAAGTGCTTGAAGAAGGTATGAGAACATTCAGGTTTATTGCAATTCCACCTCCTGTAGCTGGCTTGTAACCATCAAATCATGAATTTATGGTTGTAGGGAAAAAATCTTTGGAGAGCGCATCAGGCTGGGTTCCGCTTCTTCTGGGTCTCCTATATGAGTACACATGTTCACAATCCCATTGGAAACCATATTTGTCTCTCTGGCCAGACTTTAAGACACTGGATCAGCCCATGTTCTGGTAAGTTTTGCAGTGAACATCTGCAGACCTTCAAGATATCCTTCAAGGATGCTTCAGTTCTTCATGTCTCTGTTTTGAAGGTCCGAGGAGGAGCGTGATAAATTCCTGAAAGGAACGGGAATTCCCGAGGCTGTCAACACTGATCTGAAAAAACTCCAGGATGAGTACAATAACATAGTCCTTCCTTTCATGAAGTCCCATCCTGACCTGTGGGACCCCGAGAAGCACAACCTGGAGCTCTACAAGAGCCTGGTCGCATTTGTTATGGCGTATAGGTGAGATATCAACGAGCTATTACATTTGATTAAATTAAATTAGCAATAATATGATATATAAAATAAAATTATGTTTAGCACTATATATACCAAATCAGTTAATGGCGATATTTAAATTGATAGATTAAATAGATGTATATCAAATTGGATATTTTAATTGTGCATGCTATACATTTAAATAAACGTAGCCATTATCTAATGCACACTAAACTATGAGTTGGTATATCATAGTTATGAGTTTTTATGGCATAATTATGATTTACCATAGCATGTTTTTTTCCCCTGATGTGACAGAAATGGGCTTCCATACGTTTCTCAATATTTCCATGTCTCAGTTTTCAAGAGCCTGTAGAGGATGAGGATGAAGAAGAAGAAAAACAGCCTAACCCTCCAATGATGGTGCCCATGGCTGACATGCTGAATCACGTTTCCAAGCACAACGCCAATCTGGAATATACACCTGTATGTGGTGCAGACGTATTGCTTTTTTTTTGATTGTTTATGCTTTCAAATCTCACATCTCACATGTTCCCTTGCAGGAGTGTCTGAAGATGGTGTCTGTACGGCACATTGGAAAGGGCGAGGAGGTGTTTAACACCTATGGACAGATGGCGAACTGGCAGCTCCTCCACATGTACGGCTTTGCAGAGCCGTTTCCTATGAATAGCAATGACACCGCAGATATACAGATGTCCAGTGTGTACAAAGCAGCAGTGCAAGGTGTGACTTTATAGATGTTTATAAAAAGAGGAACTTGTTTTGCTTATAGAAATACATTTCGTGACATTTTAATTGCATTTACAGTGGCACAAAATGAAGCAGATCAACGGCTCTTAGTGGACAAATGGAACATGTTGTGCGAGATGGAGATTGTCGGGGAGAAAGGAGTCTTTATCTTCGGACAATTAGGCTCCCTCACTTACAACGAGCTCTACACTACTCTGAAGGTAACCGTTTGATCCACATGACAAAAAGTCAATAATAGATTTGATCTATTACATAATATCTAATATATTATTATATATTACAAATAATAATATATAATGGAATGATGGAATACAAATATCTAAACGTCTTTAAATCAAGATACATTTACTTGAGATACAAATGCAAAATGGGGTCTTGAAAAAATCCCAAATTAAGCTGAGTTTATGCTTAAAACAAGAACTAATATCTGTCAATGTGTCATCATGAAAATTTCCCTTTGAATTACTTTTTTTTTTCGCCCATTGGCAGATATTTGTTCTTGTTTTGATCAAAAACTCAATTTATTTTGAGTTTAGGTCCTTTGCATGCCAGTGCAAGATTTCGAGGAGTTCTGTGAAAACGAAGGCTGGGAGGAAGACGAAGAGGATGATGATGAAATGGAGGAGGCTCTGAGTTTCATCAGACTGACAGGGTTGTCAGCCGAGTGGAAGCGTCTCCTGCACACAGCATCTGCTTTGACGCTGGACTCTTATTCTGAGGATGTAGAGATGGACAGGAGGCGGCTGGAGGATCAGGGAGCTCTGGCTGAACTCGGCAGCCGAGAGAAGAGAGCTCTGCATGTGCGTTACGGTCAGAAGAACATCCTACAGCGCTTGCAACAGCTCACCAAACCTGCGTCTTAGTAATATACAGCGCTGACACTGCATTCTGGGCAACGCTGTAGTTGGCAAAACAGGAAAGAAGTCCTCAGGCAACATTTGCAAACTCTGTATAGTTTGTAGGTTTTCATTTTGTATGCTGTACATTTCCCTTTCAGTAAAATAATTTGGAATCTTACGTTTCAGATTGTGTTTTGATTCTGAGCTGTTGTGGTGTGCAAGAACGCGTTTTTCCATTCCAATGCGCTACTTTTCCATTGTTTTTCTATGTAAACACGCGCTGGACGGACGTGTATAACCGTTGCGCTCGTGCCGCAGCATTCTAAACACGATCAAAAAACGGTAAAATCAGTTCGATTTTTTTTTTTTTTTTAAATGTCTCCAGAAACATGTTGTGTGAACTTGCCGTTTGACTTTTGGTAGATTCAAGGCCATTTACATTTTGCATATGCTTTCATGTTGCATTTTTCAGTTCGTGTATTCTCTGGGATCCCTTGGTATGGATTGTGCCATGCTCTACTGTTCGAGCTTCAGTCACGTCAGAATTATATGACGAATATTGAGCATGAACGTCGTTAGATATGTTTCCATCCAAAGATGCAAGTGCGCAAAATTGTAGTGTCGCATAAAATATTTGGGAATTAAGCAGGGGTTCAATCCAATGTTTTCAAGAGAACATGCCGCAACATCTTAAATTCAACTCTTTCCCCCCCCCAACATCTCGCAATAAACGTTGTCATTTTATTTTCTATTCGGATGCTGGTGTTGGAAACGCCATGGTGTGAGATGCTTCTGGGAGGGAATTAAACCATTTCAGAGTGATCAAACTAACATTTGAGAAACTGATTAAATATGTCCGCTATTTATTCCAGATATCCAAACACATCCACTGTTGAAGCAAGTAGTTTATCTGCAAGTCATCTCATCAGATAAAATAAAAGGTTTATGCGCATCTTAGTATTTCCATCTACCTTTGTTGGATTGAAACCGCTACTGTAACGTCCTTCCAATGAGGATTTTTAGGCACATACATTAAAAAAGTACCTCTTTCCATTTGAAGTTCATCATATATTTGTCAAGGTAATTCTAAATTCAATCAATTATACACCTAATGTAAAGCTTAAATGGCTTTCCATTTGTCAGTACTGAAAACAAACAACTTCCCAAAAGGACTTGAACGCAGTTTTGACTTTGGAAAAAAAATGCATTAAACTTCAAACAACATTTACTGCATTAAATTTATAATTAAATCACAAATGATAGTGAACAGAAATAATTTAACATAACTTGTTTCAACAAACCCATAGCAATCAAAATGGAAGGCAAACAAAGTTGCAGTTCAAGTGTTTAATGCAGTAACTACAGAATGCATACATACAGGAAATAAGTAGCGGAACTAAAGGCAACTACAAATTACTACAAAATACAACACGCGGACCAATACATTTACAAAACATTCGAAATTCTTACAAAATGAGCTGTATTGGTCCTTTTTTGTTCTGCAAGTTGAATCTTTGTACAAACCACAAAGATCCAATTTACCAACAAATCTGAATATTTCCACAATTGTACAAGTGCCAGGGAGAACCTCCAACCCAAGATTTGTTTCCTCACAGGTGCAAAACTAGTGACCCCCCCACCCTGCAGTCCAGGACGTCGGTCCGATCCCATCAGCTCACCACACTGATAGCTCTCCCCTTAAAAACCAAACCTCAAAAAATAAAAAGAAATGAAACAAGACGGCTTCCTTAGCCACTACCAAGCTTTCAAACAAAAGTCAATCCGTCTTGAAGGCAAAAAATAATTTATGGAGTTTGGGGGAGCCAAACAGCAAGGAGTGAAATGTGCTCAAGCATGTGCCTCACCTTTGACAAAGAAATACTCAAAATCTGCTCTTAAATGTCCCTTTTTAATATTTACAATGAACATTTTTAATTGTTGAGGGAGGAAAAAAAAAAAAAAAGAAACTCCTTATGTCGGATGCCGCCCGGTGGAAAGAGAACGGTAGTCCAGTGCCGGCTGTGTGTGGATCAGATGTGCAGGGTGTTGAGGGGCAAATGAAGGGTTGGGGAGAGAAGAGCTCTCTCTCTCTCTCACTCTCTGAACACAGGAGCAGTTCCTGCAGCCTAACTGGCACCTGTTCCCTCCATCACCTGCTGGGCCTGCTTCTGTCCCATGCAGCACTGAGCTACCGACTGGAACAACCTGCAGAGAGAGAGAGGAAACGTTGCAGATCTTGTAAAAGTGCAGAAAAAAAATGAATCGTGTCATATTGGCCAACTTACTTCTCGATCTCTGGGGCGCAGTGCACAAAATCATGGCTCCAGAACTTAAAGGCAGGGTTCTTGATCAGCTCTATGAAGGTGATCAGCAGACCCCATGGGTGCGGCCTGTTCACAATCAACCTCTCCAGCAGGACCCTGCACGACAAGCACTTCAGTTAACTTCATTTATTAGATTGTATTGTTATTTATAAGAATTCTTGGTAACACTTTACAGATTTTGAGTTCCATTTGTTAACAGTTTATGAACTAACAATTAAAAAGGATTCTAAAGCATCATTTACTAATACATTATTAAAAACCAATGTTGTATCTTAACAGTTAATGGAACTAAAAATACATAAGTGAATCAGTGGGCAGGGCTAAATAGGCAGCAATGATGATTTTCTGATAACCGCAATATTGTAGTACGTGCTACTGACAAGTCAACCGCAAAGGAATGCAAGAAACCACAGTAACCACAATATCGTGTTTTCTTTTTTCATAAGCCTATACCCTTGTTTTGAACTTCGTGCAGGTGTATTGAATGTTGAATAAGTTAATAATGATAAAAAGACTGTTTGTCATGGTGATTTGTACAGAGGCTTTGTGCATTTGCACAGACAATGAATGAGAGAGATCGACTGAGCGAAAGCGAATACCTGCGTCTGTATGAGGTCAAGTCATATATTTGTAAAAAGGTTGCCGAGTCCAATTTGACTCATCACCCTTTTAACGTTTTAAATGTACTAGTTTTTGTGCATGCTGCGGACCACATCGTAACTCAATAAATAAAATTGTGATAAAACCACATATCGCGCTATTGGTCCACTCAAAATAACCGCAAGGTAAATTCCTTCACCGCGACAGCCCTACTGCAGAGGTGGTCTTTCGTCACACTATGTAATAATGTGACAAAATAAAACAAGTCGTTTTCTAAGCTGTGAATTCAATAAAAACTGCTTTTGTACTAAGAAAGCGGAGTTTTGAAACTTGCATGATCATTTTTAGAGTACAATGACCTCTTATGTCAAAACTTTAAGTAAAGTTAAAATTATCTTAGATGATTATTACTAAATTTCTGTCCTGTATCAGACGTAAAATGTACAAGTATCGGCTCCGTACAAATAACTGCATTCATTCTTACAAATAAAAATGTTTAAGCTGTTATTATTTCTTCAAAAATAAATAATTAAATGTCATACCTGGTGATCTGCTCTTGAATGGCTTCAGCATTGGCCTCGGCAAACAGATACAGCATGGTACAACTAAAGTAGTGTGTATGGCTGTTTGGATAACGCAGCTGATTGGCTATCGCATTCAGGAATAGATAGCGGCCTGGGAGGAGGAAAATAAGTCACAATTTAAACTAAAACTAGAGAGAGGGAACACAAAAACAACATTTTTCCGCATCTCACCTTCAGTGTCTAGATCGACTGCGAGGTTCTGGAAGATGTCCATGTGTGCCGAGTGCGTGATGGTGCTCATGGAAGGAGTGCTACCTTTGTTGTGGATGTGGGCAATGGCCTGGGTTCCAACGTACAGCACGAGAGCATTGATCAGCTGAATGTTGTAGCGGTTTCCGGGCTCATTCGACACCTGGAGGTACAGTATGCAATTATTCATAAAAAAAATTAACAATTGAGCATGGTGAAGTCAAGTTTGTGTTTAGACTCAGCTAGCTAATGTTTTACTGTCAAGAGCCTAATAACGCCACAAAAGATTAACTTACGAGTCTGTTGTGAACGGTTTTGTGATTCAGAGTGGCACCCTCTACCTGCAGGTTGCTGCGCAGCTCAGAGAGGAAGGTGACAGGAGAGCGGGTCTTGAGGTAAGAGTCAAGATCCTTCTTAAACTGGGACGGCATCACACCGGTGAAGTTAGTGAGGATGCGGGGAGCGATATTGATTTCACTCAGCATATCCACCTGGTGGAGAGACACCGATTATTATACGCGCAACGGTAGAACCTCAAGCATACTTTAAGAATCACATATGGTGTCAAGTGTGATGTGCAACTCTCTACCTTCAGATTAGGGGTGAAGGGGTCTGGAAGCCTCATGTTGCGGGGAAAGGCACTCAGGATCAGGTTCCTCAGCTGGATGCAATTGGGTGGGATGACGTCGCAAAATCCATAATGGTAGTCGCACAGGAATTCTGGGAAGTCGTGTAGCAGGACAAGCAGCACACGAAGTGTTCCCTTGGAGAATGCAGAGAAAAACAATGCAAGGTCACAAACTGACCCAGTGAACCACCAGACAGGCTTTTGGAGGAAAGACTGCATTAATACCTTGTAGAGAATTTGCATAGGTTTGTTGAGTTCAACATTCCTTAGGAAGGGTGCAAGATACTTGAACAAATCTATCAGCAGCTGAGCATACATTGGCCAACCCTGCATGAGAGGAAAGAGATGTTTAAGGCACAGAGGGTAGTCAGCGATTGACTGGCATGAATATGGGATGTGGAGGGACCCAATCCTGCCCCTGAAAGGCCACTTTCCTGCAACTCCCTAGAAGTTTGGAGTAATCCTGAAGCTTTCGATTAGCCGTTTCAGATAATCAGAGAAACTTTGCAGGATAGTGGTCCTCCTGGAGCAGGATTGATGTATAGTATACAGGAAACACAGACCTTTTGTTGTGGTGTGTGCGCAAGCATCCTGGCAATGAAGATGCGGTGAGAGATGAGCTCCAGCCAAGCATACACAAAACCAGGTGCTTTAGTCGGCCTCAGGATGTGAAAGGTGTTGCTAAAAGAGACGATGGTCCTTTAATACTCAAAGACTGATCAAAACCATAAAGATGTTCACATTAGCAAAATTTCATTAACCATCATCAATAGTGTAGATACTTCTGAAGCCTAGCTCACAAAACAAGCATATTGGTAAATGCAAATCAGCGTTACCAAATCTCTGTGGGAAA